TTAATCAATTGATGTTTATGGTACAATCTGGCAAAATCATGAATCGAGTTGAGCTGTTCTTATTTCTTACTCTACCCTCCTGGTAGGACCTCGACTCGTCATCAATTGAGCTGAGGTGTCTTTGTCATACTATACGCTCCCAGCTAAACCTCCACTTGGTCAACCTTGCGGCACTATCTATGTGACAACTCACATGTGCAGGTGCAGCGTCATGCAGTTAGCATGCACCTGAGATGCAAGACCTTGTATTGCGAGAGATGTCCTCGCCATGTCTAGTGTGAGACCTTTCACACTACTCTCTGTAAAATGTTGCTAATGAAATAAAATCTTTTGGTGTTCAAAAAAATACCGGAGGCTTAGCGCCATCCATGCCACGACCATGTGGTCTTAAGCTTATTTAATGCTAGCTATCCACCACATGTCTCATCAATAGAAAAAAAAGCATCTATGCATACATAGGATACCGGTCGACCTTTTCTTGTTGTTGCCTTTTTTTAACAAGTTTGCAAAACACAGGGCTGAGTTTTTTTGCTTGCGGATCTAGATGATAACGATTCTTCTAGCCGAGTTGCTCCTTTGATCGGAGCCAGATGTAGTCGAGGGAACCTTCGGTGTCATCCTCCTCAATAAGGTCACAAGATTCCTAGAACTTGTGCCTACTGCCTAGTACAACCCTTGCGCGGATTTTCATAGCTATCGTTGTGGAGGAAGGAAAGAGATGGGAGGGGAAGGATCAGGCAGCCAACGAAGAACGAACTATGGTGCTCATCAATAACCGCCCAAATTTCTTAGTCTGATACACAATTGCTGGGCCTTGAGGGCTTGGTGCTCTGACGCCCATCATGTGGCCGCCAATCCAAAAGGGTGCAGTTTTCCTGTCCTCAGCATGGCGTCCATAGTTTGTTAATCTGGTGATTTAATTAGCTGCTCTTTCAACAAGCATGTACTGCAAGCCGTTCATTTTTCTTTGCCAAACGGTAGTGGAAATAAAAAATTTCGGCTCAACGACACAAACAAGAAAAGAGTCATGGTTTTCTCGTTATTAATACCCCAAAGTTTGGGGTTTTGTGAAATATTTTCTACTTGTGCGTAAACTTTTTTTCCATGACCCAACTACATCCGCAAATAAAACAATTCAAGCTACAGGGTTTGATGACAAAGTAATGATTGCAGTGTGTGACTTCACCTAGTTTAATGGGATAGATAATTTTAAATTCATGTATGACCTCACATTAATATATTTTTCCAGGTTTCTGAATGTAGAATAATATGTTTTCAAGAAAGTTTTAAAATAAAAAAATTGAACATGCTCGAGTGTACTTTTTTAACCAGCTATACAATACTTCATACTCTCATTGCTGGTATTTATGTCCATGCAGATTTACATCAGGAAATTTTACCCACACTTCTGTGTATTAATTTACCAAATTCAGTCAATGCAATAATTCTGTGTCTACAAAACAAGTAGTATATCATACTTTTAAGATGGAATAATCAGATTATTTAGGTCTAAAATACTTCTACATCAGTGGTACCAGCTAGCTTTCGTCACTCTTGAAAGCTAATACATGTAAATTTTCATAGACGGCGGGTCTGAGAGGAGCTGCTGCGCCTGCTGCGACTGACTCACCAGATCAGTTCCGCGGCAAGCCTCGACTTCCACGTTTTGCTTTGCCAAGCCACTATGAGCTCCATTTCCGCCCTGACCTCATGTCCTACACCTTCTCTGGTGTGGTGGCAATTACTGTCGTCGTCTTAGCACCGACCCGTTTCCTCGTGCTCAATGTTATGGAACTCACCATTGACCGTGCATCCATTCATTTCAAGGTATGTAAATGGTGCACCCATCTGTAAACCAAAGGCAGCTTTCAAAGATCCTTCCATCCTCACATCACATATATTAAACCCCATCTTAAATAGTGTCATGGTTCCCAGTTGTTCCAATGTTTGGTGCCAACCGAGGTGGTGTTTTTCAAGGATGACCAAATTATGGTGCTCGGGTTTCGTAAAGAGCTTCCACTAGGTGAGGGTGTTCTCATGATGCACTTCAATGGCACCCTCAATCAGGCTGGTCACAATGGGCAAGAACATAAGCTAGTAACTTACACACTTTCCTAGACTATGTTACTACCTCCATAGTGGGTAGGAACATCTATGTAGTGTCATGCAACAATGTATTTATTAGGTTATAGACTCATTGTTTCTTGGAGTGTGTGATGTTCCGGTAACTTAGCTAGTTACCACAAGCACCTCTCTCTTCATTAAATATGTGCCACATAAGCAAAGTTGTATTGGAGTGTGTGATGTTACTCCTAAGTTCCTCCCCATTGTGACTAACCTCATGAGATGATGGGATTTTACAGGAGGTATGACATCCTTTTTGCATTTGTATTTCATGCACGAAAGTGTAATATTACCAATTGGTATTAGAAGTGTGAAACAATATACTCCAACAAAACTAAATGGGTATGTGTGTGTGTGCATGCACGTTCATGTCTGTTTATGTATTTCGTTTTATAATTCTATTCCTACTAGCTTCTGCATTATTCTTATTACTACTTTGGAAAAAACAGTAAGTCATGTAGGAAAATTAGTAAGACATGCAGAAACCTTGTAAGATGTGTAATAAAATTAATAAGACATCATGTGGATAAAGTTGCAGGCCACGTTAAAATAGTACGATATGTCCAAAAGTAAAAGTACGAGCAATAAAATTAGTTATACGTGCAGAAAAGTAATCATAAATCCTTACTAGCTTCTGCATTATTCTTATTACTACTTTTTTTCATAGTTATTACTGTATTTTTCACTTGTGAGTAGAATAACTTACTCTACGCATAGGAGACACGTAAGATTATTATATACCTATATAGTAAACAAACATGAGTTTTAGTAGGTTATGGTGCACCAAGAAAAGTCATGTTGTTTGTAACAAAATTATAGGTTAGACATGAAAAAAATAGCAGACTCACATCAATTTAATTCTCATGCTCAGAAAAGCAGAATAGATATAGATGTTGTATATGAATCCATGGAGCTATATACCCAAAAAGGCTTTGGCCCCGTTTTATATGTAAAGCAAGTGCCAACACATCGATCGATACGGACCACAACACAACACACCAACACACACACACCCAAAGCCGGATACATAGGTGTGACAGGCTTACAACAACACCACCCCGATCGACATGAACTATAAGGAGCCGCCGAAGCTCTTTTCAGAGAACCCGCAAAGAGGTGAAGTTGAAAGACGACGAACTCGGAGCTTCAAGATGGTGCCTTCATGAAGGACACAACACCAAAGTGCCGCCATCGTCCGATCCAAAGATCTAGATTTTTATCCGGAGCACGGCGAAGGGAAAAAGGAGTAACCACAACCTCCCGAGCACGCGCTGGTCGCGGGCGGCGACGCGGGGCTCCTTCCGTGCGGGCGCGGTGGCAGGAGCTCGGCGGGGCATGGGCGAGCGTGGCGCGGAGCATCACCAGCAGGCACACTGGCGCTAGAGGCCATGGCCGGTGCTCGCGTGACCCGCTGCGAGGAGCGGTGACGGCTGTTGGCGAGAATCGCGGCGACGGCTGCATGCCAGCCCCCCCGCCCGTGAACTTGCTAGCTAGCTAGCTAGCCAACCCGCGTTGGGTAGTTTGGCCATGCGGCCGCGACGGGACGAGGGCGGGCGGGGCGAGGCGCGGCGACCGGCGGCGGGGCATGGGCGAGCGACCATGCCGGGCGCGGCGGCGAGATGCAAGGTGGGGGCGGATGCAGCGGACGTTTTGGGTCATTCCCCCGCCTGAGCGCCACCAACACAAGCCGGACAAGCGTGCCCATTTTGGCTCCATTGCCATCCCAAACGGACGAAATCCGGACAAAGCGGACGTCCGTTTGAGTTCGTGCGGTGGAGTTGGCCTCACTCTCGCCACCTTTCCCAACGCCATCCCTACGACGCCTGGCCTTGGCTCCCGGCCTGTATCTACAGCTGATAGGTACTCCCTCCGCCGCCTGCAGTCAACTGAACTAAAACCACGACGAGTAAATCGGAAGTGAGGTGCCGGTCCACGGTAGTGGTACGTGACACTCGCCCAACAACGCGAGGTGCCGGAAAGGGCACAACTTGCCGCCGTGAGCGGACCTAGGGCATCCACACAAGCAGCTCGCCAACGGCCCGACGCAGGAGCCTGTCCCGCCGCCGCCGCGAACTACCCGCACCACTACCGTGGACCGGCACCACGCCATCCCAGCAACCAGATAGGTCGCTGCCACCCCCCCGAGCCACCCGTCCTTGACCAAGGGGCCAGATCCGAGTGGATCTGACCGGAGATCAGCGGGGGTGCCCAGTCCCCCATCCCGCGCCACCACCGCTGGAGAGCAAGGTAGCAGCCACCAGCCTGCGCTGCCGCAGCCCGTGCCGCTCGACGGGACAGATTGGGCGGAGGAGGCCGACGCAAATGAACGCAGCGCCTCGAGCCACCGCCACCTCCCGGCTGAGCACGCCCCACCGGATGCCGGCACACAACCCTCCACGCGCCTCACCAGCCCACCCCCATCGTCGGAGACACCGCCGCAGCCGCTCCATGGCGCCCTCGATAGCACTGCGCTTCCTGTGAGGCCGCCGCCCCGCACAAGCAGCCCTGCGAGGAAGGGAGAAAAGAGGCCCCGCCACCGGTGGCGCAAGCCAGCGACGACGACGGGGGGGAGGGGCGGGAAAGAGCTAGCGACGGCTGAACGAGGGTTCGCCCTCCCGCTCGCGGGAGCGGGGCGGACGAGACGGGTCGGGTTCTCCTTTTTTCATGGTTTCCTGAATGGTTCCATGGAGCTATATACAGAAGAAGAGAGAACAAATGAACTATCGGTTTCCGTATGCTCAAAACATTGTAGGATGCCACATTCGCTAGCCAGTTTACAATTAGTCCTATCAATGTTGAAACTACAAAATAGACTTGCATTTGGGTAGTATTTTTGCACAACTAATACTATTATCTTTGATGGTTCATGATTTGTGATGTATTTTGAGTTCAGTAGATATCAGTATAAGGGGAAGACGACACACATGGCGGTGACACAATTTCAGCCTGTGTATGCGCGGCGATGCTTTCCCTGTTGGGATGAGCCTGCTTTTAAGGTCATTATCATCTCATTGTTACTGAGATATCTAGATTTTCTAGATGATTGATCTATCATTTTTGTTCCTGAAGCATCAGTGGCCATGTACTCATAAGTTAAGTATGTGTTTATAGGGAAAACGATTCTAATTCCTCTAGTTATACCTTCATTTTTCTTCTCATGTATGTGAACGAGGGCTTCAGTGCATTCATCTCTGTTTGCTAACTTTTTTTCTTGCATTATCTCGATCTTTTAGGCGAAGTTCAAGATAACATTAGAAGTTTCATCTGAGATGGTAGCACTTTCCAACATGCCTATATCTAGTGAGACAGTGGGTGGTTCTATGAGGATTATCCATTTTGAGGAATCACCTCTCATGTCAACTTATTTAGTTGCCATGGTTGTTGGTATTTTTGACTTTGTTGAGGATGTAGCATCGAAAGGTATGGACTCCATTTTTCATATAAGATTCACCTAATCCATTAACTTGTTATTATCACTTTCCATTGTTCCTTTTTCTTTAGGCACTAAAGTTTGTGTGTACACTGAAGTTGGTAAGAGTTCACAAGGGAAGTTTGCATTGGATGTTGGGGTGAAGTCATTGGATTTCTATAATGAGTAAGATCTGAACATACCCTTTGAAATTAATTAAATAGGTTTCGGGAGAAGAACATAAGTGATCATACTGATGTCTTTCAAACTATTGATGTTATCAGATATAATCACTAACCAAGTCTTTTTTTCTTAATTGTCATAGTTACTTTGGCACTCCCTATGCACTCGCTAAGTTGGATATGATTAGTATCCCGGAATTTAATTGGATGGGAATGGAGAATTATGGACTGATCACTTTCCATCCCACGGTCTTTCTTTTTGATGGTCCTTCTACAACATCCACAAAACTACAGGAAGTATAGACCGTAAATCATAAACTTATTTGTAACATTTCTTTCATCATTTACTATACATGACTTCGAAAAATAGGCATTTTTACCTAAATGATGCATAAGGGAATTACATTACTTCAACTAACAATAATTATGTTAGTCTACTATACACATGTTTTCTATGGCTGAAGTTTTTTGAAGACATACTTTGTTTATAGATCCCAAAATATATTTTTAGATTGCAGTACTTGTGGCACATGAATTGGCTCATCAATGGTGTGGAAATCTTGTAACCATGGAATGGTGGAATCACTTATGGTTAAACGAGGGATTTGCTACATGGGTAATTTGATGACTCAAATTTTCAAGAATTATATACCATGATAATTATCTATACTTAATGAACTAGTTTGTTAACAGATGAGCTATCAAGCAGTAGATTCCTTTTTTCCGAAGTGGAATATTTTGCTGGATTTTCTTGAGAACACAATGTCTACTCTTAAATTGGATTCAATAGCAGGGTCTCATCCGATAGAGGTAATCACATTGCTTGTTGATGTGGTATGGCATGATCATTGGGTTGTACTTATTATTCATTGCATATGCCATTTATTTATATGCTTTTGCATAGATTCTATGTGCACATAGAACCTATGGTAAAACTCTGTTGTTGTTGAAATACGAATATCTCATAAGTTTTACTTTTGACATGCCTATATGATGATAATTCATATACAGTATGTAAATTTCGAATCCTATTAATTCTTGGGTTGAGGACTCCTGACAGGTCAACGGAATACACCACCAACAACAAAAAAAGCTTTTCAGTCCCAAACAAGTTGGGGGTATGCTAGAGTAGAAATCCATAAGGTCTCTAAAACTAAGTCATGGTTTTGGAACGTGGCTGGCTAACTTCCATTCATCCCTGTCCATGGCTAGTTCTTTAGTGATATTCCAGTCCTTCATATCCCTCTTTACGGACTCCTCCCATGTCAATTTTGGTCTACAACAACCTCTCTTGACATCATCAACACACTTTAACCGCTCGCTATGTACCGTCGCTTCTAGAGGCATGTGTTGTATATGCTCAAACCATCTTAGATGATGTTGGAGAAGTTTCTATTCAATCGGTGCTACGCCAATTCTGTCACATATATGATCATTCCAGACTCGATCCTTCCTTTTATGGACACATATTCATCTTGGCATGTGCATGTGCGATACTCCTTACTGTTGGACATGTCGCCTTTTAGTTGGCCAACATTCAACGCTATACGACATCTCATGTCGAATTTTCATTCTATAGAACCTGTCTTTCGTTTTTTATGGCACTCTCTTGTCACAAAGGACACTAGAAGCTTGATGCCACTTCATCCATCCAGCTTTGATTCGATGGATCACATCTTCGTTGATATCACCATCCTTCTACATAGTTGACCACAAATATAGGAAGGTGTCCTTGAGGTATTGCTTGCCCATCAAGGCAAAACTCCCCCCTCCGTATACCCAGTAGTATTGAAACCACACCTCATATACTCATTGTTAGTTCTACTAAGCCTAAAGATGTCTGATTCCAAAGTATGTCTACTAAACTCCAACTTTCCATTAACCCTCGTCCAACTATCATTGACTAGCACCACATTGTCCGCAAAGGGCATACACCATGGGATATCTACTTCTATATCCCTTGTTACGTCATCAACCACCAAGTAAAAAAGATAAGGGCTCAAAACTCGCCCTTGGTGCAGTCCTATTTTAATTGGAAAATCATTAGTGTCGTCATCACTTGTTCAAACACTTGTCACAATATTATTGTAAATGTCCTTGATGAGGCAGTTTACTTTGTTGCGACTTTGTGTTTCTCCAAGGCCCACCACATGACATTCCACAGTATCTTATCATAGGCCTTATCCAAGACAATGAACACCATATGCATGTCCTTCCTTGGTCAATGTCCATTAGTTGTCATATGAAGAAAATGGCTTCCATGGTCAACGTCCAAGGCAAGAAACCAAACTGATTTTTGGTCACACTTTCCATTCTTCTTAAGAGGTGCTCAATGACTCTCTCCCTTATATAGCTTCATTGTATGTCTCATTATCTTAATATGGTTTTAGTACAGCATTGAACACCACCATTGTTCCTGAGGATTGGTATAATATACTCCGCCTCCATTCTTCGAGCATCTTATTTGACCGAAAGATAAGGTCAAGAAACTTAGTTTATTTTTGAACCAGGCAGAACCCCTTTCCATTACTTGCATAACAGAAATACATTAGTTCATCACCGAGAAACCCACTGCAGATACTCGCCATCAAGATACCCACTGCAGTACGAAAACCCGATTACACCATATAGACTATTACTATCATACCAAGGTTCTATGCTCACACATGAGCAAAAAGGACAAACACCCACACATAGGGGTACACAAAAGTGGCAAAAGGCACTAAATAACAGACATAGCCAAAACACAAATGGAGCATGTATGAAGTAGGCCAGAAGCACTAGGAAGGCATCAAGCGTCACCCCCATCTTGAAGAGTAGAAGCACTAGGAAGGCATCAAGCGTCACCCCCATCTTGAAGAGTAGTGCAAATCTGCATCGTGTTTGAAATGTTGTCCCTCAACATCTTGGCGCCCTTCCTCAAATCAACAACATCTTCAAAATTCAGCAGTCCTGCACAATATGTCAAAAAAAGCACAAGTAGAAAACAACTTCAAACGAGGTTTTGAGAGTTTTGAATTCAAATGTCACCTTGTTGCCATAGTTCCAAATAGCCCAACATATAGCAGCTAAACCAATAGTATAGTAAGTCCCCCTACCCTCGGAGGAAGAAAGAAGAGCACCAAGAATAAGTTTGCCACACAGCTGGGCACAGATCGATACCAAACATGCTAGCCACAGTACGCCAGGCTACTCTAGCCATCGGGCACAGGAAGAAAAGGGGTTGTGATGTCTCTCGATCATGACAAAGGAACATTTAGGTTTACCTTCTAGTTCCTCCTTTTCATCAGATACCTTGTTAAACCCGCATCCAGGAAAAGTTGCCGCAGAAAAATCTGAATTTTCGAAGGAAGTTTCGCTTGCCATATCCAGCTATAGTCACTATCAGATAGGTTTTCCTCCGAAAGATTATAAACATAGTAATGAAGCAGCATTTTGGTCCAAGGGGCCATCTAACAACATCACCATCATTGGAGATACAAAGTCTCTTGGCTAGCTCCATAATGCAGTTTGATTGCTCACTGAGGTCAGGATTTGGTCTCCTTCTAGAAAAGGAAGTACTATCAGCCTCTGGGCACTTATTAACGGTACAATCTTGATAATTGCATACGCTGAAAAGTTGGGGGAACTTTCCAGCAAGAGGAATTGTCCTTTAAGGGGTCCTTCCATAATCTTGCAGTATCCCAAGATTGAACATCAATTTTCCTATCAGCGATATAATATTCTTTCACCTTAAGGATAGCTTTCCAGCAATGTGAATCATTGAATTTTCTCTCTAACAATAGCCATGATAGCTCTTTTAAAATACTTGGCATTTATAATATACTGCCATAGACCAGTTTTTTCTCCGGTGTCCACCACCACTTGGTGAGTAGACTTTTTTCGAGAAAACGCAAAGGACCTTTGCGTTTCATTTCATTGAAAAGATAGGGAGTCGGTTACAGCCGTCCTAGGACGAATAAGCAGCGGGCAAGTACAGTGCTCAGTGCACATCCCATGAAGGGGGCAGGACTACTCTAAGGCCCGTCGCTCCGGCGCTAGCCCAGCAGCAGACCTCCTCCTTGATCCGGTCCATCAGCGTGCCAAGGGAGGCGACATATTGTCGAAAACGCATCTGTTCCTGTGCTTCCAGACCAACCATGGCACAAGGAGTGCAACGGAATGTAGGGCCTTGTGTTGTGCGTGCGACGTGCCGAGCTCATGCCGCTTCTATACAAATGCATTCCCTCGCGCCGGCGCAAGGTCAGAACGGTGGCGGAAGGCCTCAACGACAACTCCTGGGCCCGCGACATCCAAGGCGTCCTTGGCATCCACGAGATTGGTCAGTACCTACAACTCTGGCACCTGGCGCAGCAGCTCACACTCTGCGATGCCCCTGATCGGCTGATCTGGAAGTGGACGGTGAGCGGACTGATGTTTTACTTATGTAGATACTTATCCCCAAGGCCCCCTTTTTCTTAGATTTGCAAATTTTGGACCACTTTAATCAGGTTCCTCTTCTTTTCTTTACTAACTTGCCAAAAAATCTCCTTCTTTGTGTTGTTTAATATCTTAATGAAAGTTATACACAGTAAAAATATAGACATATATCAGTAAGCAATACTAGAGGGATTCACATTCAACAAAGTGAGCCTACCACCAGTGGATGCAGTATTTCCAATCCACGTGTCACGTCTTTTGATGTATTTAGATTCAATGAAGTCAAAGTTCATCCCCCTTAAATAGGAGAATCTAACATGCACTCCAAGATATCTCATAGGAAAATGCCCAATCTGATAGTTGAATATATCTGCATAGATCTAAGTATCTCACCATCACCTCCCACACATAATTTTACACTTTTTTAAAATTAATCTTCAACCCGAACATCATTTCAAGCATATAGAGTAATATTTTAAGATTTAGAGAGCTTTATTAGGATCATAATGAATACACAATACTGTGTCATCAGCATACAACAAAATGGCTACTCCATTGTCAATTAGGTCAGGGGCAGTACCAAGCAGAAGTTTATTTCTGTGCATTCAAAACCATCTTACACAAGCACTCAATAACCATGTCAAACACAAAAGCAGATAGGGCATACCCTTGCCTCACCCCCTTGTGACTTTGAAAGTAGGACCCATTAGTAATATTTAGCTTCACACTAATAGGCCATTATACATGATGCATTTCATCCAGTTGCACCATGTAGGCCCAAACCACCCTCATCTTAAGGCAGTCAATTATAAAGTCCCAATTGAACTTGTCATAGGCTTTCTCAAAATCAAGCTTAGTGACAATCCCAGTTATTTTCTTAATATAAGTATGATGAAGTATTTCATGCAGGGAGAGGATACCATCCATGATAGTTATGTGGTCAATAAAAGTATTCTGGTGCACACTAAACAACTTATTAGCAAACAGTGCCACCCTACTATCTAGGACCCTGGTAATCAGCTTGTAGGGACATGTAAGCAAACATATAGGTCTAAATTGTTGAATTTTCTTGGCCCTGCTAATTTTAGGCAACAAAGTAATAATCCCATAGTTCAATCTATGAAAAGTAAGGGTGCTAGTGTGAAAGGAAGCAAACAAATTCATGGTGTGATGTTGCACAATTTCACAACACCATTGATAAAACTAAGCAGGAATGTTGTCAGGACCAGGGGCTATATACTATCACTATGTCTACAAGGACTCACCACACATCAATGGGGATACAATCAGGGCCAATCACCTTGCCTCCCGTCATCCTTTTTAAAGCCTCGCTGACCTCAGACTCCTGGATTCGCCGCACCAAACATCTATTGGTATCATCAAAAGAGTCATCCAGCTCAATTGTAGAGTTATCATTCTCTCCATTAAACATCTTGTTGAAGTATTCTCGACATATATGTTTTCTCTCCTCGTCCTCCACGAGAAGATTTTTTGATCCAGCCTTAATGCATTTTACTTGGTCCACATCCCTCATCTTCCTCTCTGAGATCTTGGCCCTCTTATGAATGTTTGTTTCTCCTTCCTTCATTTTTAAAGACATGTAGAGGCCCTGATAGGCTCAAACCCTTGATTCACCCACACATCTCTTAGCATTCTTATTGACCCTCACAGGTCAACGGAATATGAGAACAATTTCTAAATCCACATATGGAAAAATGTTAGGAATATAAATATTGAACATTGTATGCCAGTGAACTGAAATCACGCGATAAAAATTATTAAAAATCTTCACATCAATGTTGGCTAAGATTACTTGGATACTTCAATCAATATTATAATATGATTGTCATGCATCATGTTCCCCATGTGTGTATCCAACATGAAGCCAACTTGCAAAAAACATGACCTGCAGCGAAACATAGTCTAACAAGTCTAGATTGCGCATCTCACATGGTAGAGCATTCCCAACGACACCTCATGTGTACTTATAAATTTAAAGGATGGCTTATGTCCTTGGAAATTAGGAAGGAAAGGTGTATCCTCTCACTCATTCCAATTATTGTATGGAGCTTAGAGGGGTAGTAGTGTCACCAATTCCTCGAATGCAATGCTTTCACTTGTACTTGCTTGCTAAGGCCGTAGTATGTTGGGTTTATTCTTAGTAATCAAGGTTCCCCTCATGGTGTTGCATCTCTTTTTTAAGGCAAATGCCCATTGTCCCCATGTAATGTGTTTGATTAATATCAATGGGAGAGTGTGGAATCAGGTTACATAATAGAGTATAAGGTTGGTACATATATTAGAGCATTCAGTTCTATCTACTTTGAATCTTTTATCAGCACCTCATTAAACCCCACATAGTTCACGCATGGATTTACTAGGTGACCTCATGGAGAGGACACTTGCTACTGCATGGTAACATAGTATATAATGTTATGTCTGATATAGTTGGCAACCACTTACAATGATGATTTTTCTATTACATGTGCTTTGATCAGTCACTAATATGGCATCATTCCTAGACATTTCAGCTGGTATATATGGCTACATTGATTTAATTTTCCAACCATCTTTGATATTAATGATGTTCCTACGTTGGAGTGTGAGTCGGATTCAGAGATTGCTTCTAGCTTTAGATGGATCTAAACACCCAAGTTAGTGTGGGAGTGGGGCCTAGGAAATAGTGGTTGAAGAACCCATGCTTCATGTCGCCACGGTGAACATCATCCTACATGATATGTCATGGGTAGAATCTACTAAATATAGCATCCATCCCACTTGTGTTTGATCTCTCTTATCTTATTCGATTTGTTGTAAAACGAATTTTAGCCAATGAAAAAGTAAATTATTGAAAAAAGGCATAAATGTCTCAGAACATACTTCCTTCCTCGCACTCTATCCTTGTTGTATTAGTAGTAGGTGTTTAGTCATCCATCTTCTCTATTACTCAAGGGTGCATATAAAACATTGATAAGTAATGTATTTTCGTATAAGAGGCCCTCTAAAATAGTTGTAACAAAACAAGATTTTGTAAAATCTCTGAAACATTGAATCTAGGATGTTGTTTTTCGCACGAATGGAAGAAAAATGTTGGTTCAGGTTGGCATACAATGAGAGAAGCATCCGGCGAAGAACATGGGGGGGGGGGGCTCCTGGAAAAAGAGTTAATTATGCATGTTGCCCGATGTGTAATCTCTTCAATCAAAAGTTTGCCTAGTAGTTTGATGATACTTCTTGATTATATGTGTAATATTTTGAAATTTACCATGGAATATGGAAATCGATACATAAATCCTTTTAGTTTCATGTATTGTATTAGGCATCAATTTTGGCAAGTTAATCAACGAAGATTCAATTGGTTGCCATAAATTTTCCATTTCTAAATGTTGACATGTAAACCATTTCATATTTTCAATGTCATTCCTCTTATGCCCAGGTTGAAATACACCATATCAATGAAATCGATAGGATTTTTGACGACATCATATATATTAAAGGTGCTTCTATTCTTCAAATGATACAGAGCTACATTGGAGCAGAGCATTTTCAGGTGGTGATTTTATATTGTTATGTATATAGTGCACTTCGTTATATTACTTACACAAGTGTACAAAACCACTCTTAACCAATTAATTGAATCCTTGGTGGATTGTGTGACACTATGATACCGTTTTCTATTATTAAATGGGTGTAAATAGTATTTTTTATATAAATGAAATTGATGCACACATACCATTTATGCGACCACTTATATTCTGTTAGTGTCAAGGAGTACGTCTTCATTTTCTATGTACAAAATGACAACATCGATTGAGACTTTAACATGGCGGCTAATGTTATGTATTTTGTCAGCAAGTCTACATTACTCCGAATAGCCTAAAGTATCAGCTATGAAAGACTTAATGCCATGAATTATTGTATAATACTCCCTATCTCTTTATGGGTTGTGTGCATCATTATGTACTAATTTGTAAAAAAAACTTTTAGAAAGCATTGAAGAAATATATACAAAAATATGCCTACTCAAATGCTAAAACAGAGGACCTATGGGTCGTGCTTGAAGAAGAAACTGGCGAGCCATTCAAGGATTTCATGAGTACGTGGACAAAGCAACCAGGATATCCTATAATTAATATAAAACATAAAGGGAAAGGAATCCAAGTTGAACAGGTAATTTTGGTACATAACTCTACTCATTTGGATATTAAACTTGTGCCCATCATGTTAAATATTTTCATCGCAGCCTGTTAAACCATGTGGTCATGACCCACTTATTACATGATTATCATCCATGGTTTAGCTCAGCTTTCCTTGGGTTGGTCACCCCACTAATGTAATCATGTAGCATTTGTACGCACTATCATTACTCTTCTAGTATAAAAATATACAATGGGGGCTCCCCTACTATTCAACCATCAACAAAAACTTGAATAACTAACATTATCCAGAATGTAAACCTTCATACATATTGGTTGTGCATTCATCCAAGTGTTGACCCTAGATCCCATACACATATATTGTATGTTTTGAATTACTTATGTATTCTCTCGACTTATTGTTGGCGTAGTTCTGGTTGCTTATATATAAAAACATAGGCCTTTGCACACTTGTAATGGAGAAAATGTGCATTGGACCTTTATTTATTGCTAATTAATCATACTTTTTATAGATGTGGCTAGGTAAATTGGTTCGAAAAGGGATCTACTAAACATACCAAACACATGGAAATATTCTATCATGCATGTATTGGAATATACAAATCTAGAGAAACTACATGGTATTTATATAGGAAATTAAGATACTCAAAACTAGACATTGTAAGGCCAATTTTGTTCCTTCAAAATGCACATTGACAATTGTATACTATTCTCAGCAATTTACTAGGGGTGGCAAACTATTTTACACTCTAACTTATAATGCTCTACATAGGCAAAATCGTAGATATAAGTGTAGTTCATAGGCAATGCTATAGGATGGCACAAAAAAGCTACATGTATATGTTTATAATATCTTAAATTGCACTAATAATCGGTAATATATATTGTTTATAATATCAATTGTCTTCACATATATTGTTTATAATATCAATTGTCTTCACATATATTGTTTCTTTCTTGTAGGCCCAATTTGTGCTAGATGGGTCCTCTCGAGCTGGCTTGTGGGATGTGCCAATAACTTTAAGATGCTCTTCATCAACAAATAAATTCATTTTGAAACACAAGCATGATAATTTTGATGTATGTGGTGAACGGGAGAGGGGTGGAAATATTTGGATTAAGTTGAATATAAATGAAACAGGGTTTTATCGAGTGAAGTATGACAAAGAAATTAAAACTAGACTTCAAAACGCATTAGAGGCCAATGAGTTCTCTTCAATGGAAAAAATTGGTATGCAACATATTTTACTATTATGATCTATTTGTTATATTTGATTCCAGGAGTACTTTAACATTAGTTTTCCAGGAATTTTGGAGAACTCACTTATGCTTTCTATATCTCGAGAAGACACACTAGCATCATTGCTATGTATAGTGTATGCTTGTCGTGAAGTAGCTGACTACAGTGTTTTGACACATACAAGCTGTATGTACATTCTAGTTTTCCAAATAGTTCAATTTTATTTGTTTTCTAAATTTTAATTCTCCATGTATTTTCCTTTGGCTTTACAGATAACTATAACCGTTTACCATGTATCTATTGATGCTACGCCTAACTTGGTTGCTGACATCAAAAAGCTTGTCACTAAAATTCTTCTGCCACCTACTTTGTATGTCATGTCACATTTTCAATCTTTACGTCACTAGTTACATGTTTAGTTGCATATTCCTTATTTGATGGTACATATATGCTCAGTCATATAACAAATATTTTCATTCTTACAATATCTTTCCTATGACCATTTTATGTACTCTACTTTTCAGAAAGTTGGGTTGGGATCCCAAGGATGGTGAGGGAGACCTAATAGTAAGTTTGAGGGAAACTCTCTTGGTTTCCCTTGTCCAACTTGGACATGATCATATCATAAGTGAAGGTCTTCGACGCTTTGACACCTTAATCCATGATCACAACTCTTCTATCCTTTCTCCTAGTACCAGAAAGGTCTAATAATCTTACCTTCCTACACATCATGCTTCTATGTTGCTTCTTCAATTCTGTGACCAAAATGTGGTGCAGGCTGCATACCTATCTGTGATGCAAAATGTTAGTAGTTCAAATAGATCCAAATATGATTCTCTTCGACAACTCTACAAGGACTTGGGTGACGAGGAGGAAAAGTTACGTGTCTTAGGTGTGTAACTTTTCTTACCATGATAAATTAACACAACTTCTTAATGATGATTTTTTTTGTCCTGAAAGAGTTCTCTATTTCTTTGTAGGCACATTATCTTCTTGCCTGGATAAGGATATTGTTCTTGAGTCACTGAATTTAATATTCACTAATGAGGTGACTTATAAGTTTTTTCCTTATCCATTTATTATAGTTAAAGATAAAATAAGCATATAATGTGAATAACATTTGGTAGTAACATGTTTTTCCTGCTCGTAGGTCCCAAATTATCATGCAGTTTATGTTCTTAAAGGTATTGGAATAGATGCACGTGAAACGACATGGAGTTGGTTGAAGGTACGTTCTACTTTGGTGGGGTGGGCGGGAGTTATATTTAGAAATTTGAAATTGTTGACTATGATACGGAAGTACTCCCTCCGTTTCTATTTACTCTGCATATTAGAGTTGACTGAAGTCAAACTTCGTAAAGTTTGACAAAGTTTATAGAGAACAATATAAACATTTATCATAACAAATCTATACGATGTGAAAGTACACTCAATAATGAATCTAATGTTGTTGATTTGTTATTGTATATATTAATATTTTTGTTTATAAACTTGGTCAAAGTTTGCAAAGCTTGACTTTGACCAAAACTAATATGCGAACTAAATAAAAACAGAGGGAGTATGATTCTATAGGAATTTTCAACACAATGAATATACACAGTGTATTCTAGTGTTAGTTAATAATACCCACCTCAACTAGCATTGCGTTTACTTAGCACATTTGTAGTACTCCCTTATACAAATTTAGATGTTGCAAGAGTTTAAATGTGATCATTAGTAAATGGAGATCAATTATATTTTTACCTAATGAATTTGCCAACTGGGATGAAATCAAAACACACTAATAAAGTCATACATTAAGAATATAAAGTTTCCATTTCTTCATTATGCTTGAAATAGCATGTCCCTAGACAACCAATATATAGAAGTATAATCCTATCAGAGTGATTCAGAACATCCACATGTTGTTCGTGACTATGACCAGATATTCAGATTACTATGTATGCCAGGGTATATCAATGCAGAGGAAAATAGTTAAAGGGCATTATTATTAACTAAATCCAAAAGATAACTGGCATATTACCACATAGAGAATTGTATAACTTATGAATTTACAACAATGATACTCACCAGGTGCACCACAACGAAGATTCTTTATAAAATAGCTCAAATGTTTTGTAAATTTCTTTTGTAAACTATTTATATCTTGTAACTTCAACTAACTCGTGATATGTACTGATGGGACACCGAAATTTTAAAACAAGCTTCAAGTTTTCATATATCCAACTTTTCCTAGGGATATGGCAAATGATTAATGTTAGTGCTAGTAGGACATTAAATATTTTAGAAAATTAGCTGAATATAATTACATTTATGTCTTTCATTACATTTGTAGGAAAATTGGGACCGTGTCCTGAAGGTTGTTCCCAAAAGAGACCTACTATGGAGTATTGTGAACGACATTCTTCCATTGGTACATCCACATGAACTTTTATGGCTTTAGTTGGCAAGTTCTAAATTTCCCATTGAAAAAACTATTAGTCAATTTTAACATATGACCATTTCTAAAGTGCACTACCTATTTTGGTGTTAGTTCACTACCAATGAAAAGGCAGAAGAGATTGCCAAGGTCTTCAGAAACTACACGGATTCGGAACTTCAGAGTGCACTACAAGTAAAACTTCAGATGGTGAGTATCAACATGAGATGGATCGACGGTATCCAGAGTGAGCCCAACCTTGCACAGATGGTGGATGAACTGCTTCACAAGCCCTAATGTGTTGTTTGCTTGTAGTGTTATGATTTATGTGTTCAACAATAGTGGCAAAGCTACAAGTTGCTTCTTGAATGTACTATTGTTGTCCGCAATAACATGTTTTTCTTAGTTATTATGCATTGAAGATGTCTCTTATTTTCTGGAATGAGGATCCACCTATCTATACTGATGTTCTAAAGGCACCAACAAAATATTTACACTTAAACTATGAACTATAGTGGTAAATAAGAGAATGCCTAGGGATAAATATCATTCACATCAACAAAAAAATGATTTTCATGTACCCAAACCTAAAGTAATCATTCTCAAATCTCTAAGACAAGTTTAAACACCCACATATTTCCATAAATTTGTATACCCCAGCATGATTCACCCGTTACAACACCTTGCATGTTCATCGGGCATAATGGAACCTAGATTTTGAAGATTGTTCCCTAGGTTAAACCTTTTATGCGACTCAAGTATGGAAGTGCAATAAGGGTGCACTACGGCACAACAGGCTAGCAGTGGTTGGCGCATAATGTCTACTTGTGGAGGGCGCCGGCCACTAACATCCCACCATTTCTAACATGGCATTAGTGGCCGACGGGACACCCTCCATTGGTAATGTTTGCACGAGTTGTGGGACTTTTTTAAGTGCCCGCCACTAAAAAGCCCGCCCAAGTAAATTGAAAATAAGCTGTCATGGCGGTATTTTGCATACAAAGCATTGATACCCATATAAAAAATAGCAATAGGCTGCAATATTGCATTGATACGGATAAGACATTGCAATACACCGCATTGATACCCATTGTTAAGTGCATGCATTTGTGTACCTTACCCACTAGTTAGTATAGATCATGACTAAGCATCACATACTTTAACCTTATAATTTGTTCATCATTCCTAGGCAGTACATAATAGCCTAAAAACACTGTCGATAGTCAAAAGGTACCATGACTCTAAAGGTCACTCAAAACTACAAGGTGGTCCTAAATGCAAGTTATACCAAGAGAGGGGGATTACCAGCCGCTGGAATTTTGACCTAAAAAATAAACAACAAAGATAGCAAATCTTTAGAGCTCACAATGAAGCGAGGAGTTTTGGAGAATTATTTTGGAATATATGAGGAATTACGGAGTCACTGGTGCAGCGACGTCCTATACAAGCAGTGTTTACCCCCTTTCTATGACATAATTTTAAACCATTACCTTGCTTGTGTGGGTGTAACGCCCCTATAATTAAGCTACAGTGACCTCCCCTCTAATTATGCCATGTCATCATATTTTGCAATAATGAATGCCACTTGTCCCAAATCAAAGTCAAATTCAAATTTAAAGTTGCAAGTCAAAATATTATTTCCACAAACAGTGAGAAACAATGTTGGTAATATCTGATACGTCTCCAATGCATCTATAATTTTTTATTGTTCCATGCTATTATATTATCAATATTGGATGTTTTGTACACTTTCAAGCAATTATATATCATTTTTTGGGACTAACCTATTAACTTAGTTGTCGGTGTCAAAACCGGCGGATCTCGGGTAGGGGGTCCTGAGTTGTGGATCCTGGATCGATGGGTAACAGTGAACACAAAGACAGTATTTACCCATGTTTAGGACCTCTCGAAGTGGTAAAGCCCTATGTCCTGCTTGAGTATGTTGATGTGTGTATATGATGGTTACAGAATTGATCTACCTAGGTACCCTTTTCTAAGGGGTTTATTAGAGTTCTATGGGATCCAACTCCACCACCTCACCCCGAGATCAATTTTACATATCTCGGGTTACGTTGCCCTTTGTGAGATGTTCCTGGGTTGTGAGGCACACTTGAAACTGTGGAGGAAAATTTTCTGCTTTGTCTTCCGCACCTGAGGAGGGGAAACTCACAAGGTCGGCGGGGCCGAAGTATGGTGTATTGCTGCGACATGGTATCCAGTAGGGACTCATAAGAAGAATGCTGAAGAGTGGACCTCAGGGTGGTTCTACATCGAAGACGCCCCCCTATTCTATCCAGCTCAGAGGGGGCTGCCAGAATTCTCTCTCGCTTCTCCAAAGAAGAGGTTTAACTGGCGACCAAAAGTCCTTCCCAAAAGGAAAGCGCTGAAGTAAAGCATCTAGCTGCTCAAGTGAAGTGTTTAGCTCACAACGGGTTAACCATCATCGACGTGATGGCCCCTGCCATTACTCGGTGTATCCAACCTCTCCAGCAAAGGATGCACCCCTATGGTGTTACAACGTGACGGATGACGCGACCTGTTACAAATGGAAGGGGCCTGCCAACCAGGCAACAATGGCCACCACACTGGTCGATCTCTTTAAAGGAGAAGAGCAAGAGTTTACCAGCCTAAAGCCCAAGGATGGTTACTCGAGCTACAACCCCATTGAATGGGTGAGTTCAGCTACACTTTATAGTTTGGATGTTATGTCCATTTTTGTTAATTAGATCTTCTAACCTTCCGAACAAAACTAGAGGCGCTGGATCGAGATAGTCAGCTGCCCTTCTCCTCAACCGGAGAGCTATTCCCACGAGGATGACCTGG